CCCCACCCGGCCTCCTCCCAGACCTGTTTTCTTCTTCGGCGTTTCCTGGTGCTGCTGGAGGGTGTGTTTCTGCTCATGTTTCAGCGGCTTTGGCTGGGCCTTGGGGCTGCCCTCGGCTCCATGCTGCAGGTATTGGTGAGGCTGCTGGTGATGATGGTGGTGGTGGTGGTTGTGGGTATGGTTGTAGAAATAATAATGGTGGTGATGGTGCGACTGCTGCTGCTGCTGCTGAGAGTGATGGTGTGGATGGTGGTGGCTGTGATGGTGCTGAGGCTGTGGCTGGCCGGGCTTCTCCTCCATTGAAAGCGGCTGGGACTCCCTGGCTGAGGCTGCGGGCTGCTGCACCGTCAGGATCTGAGACTGCTTCTCCGGCCTCGCTCAGTATATCTGAGCGCGTCTTGCCAGCGCACTGGTTAACTGAGCGATTCTGTGAGATTGGCAGCTGCTCTCCAGCAATCAGAAGCCACGCTGTGCCGCAGGCCCCGCCCCTAGCCCAAATCCTCTTTCCTTCCCCTTGGCCACTGCCTCCTGGCCAACGCCACTTACCCGGTGCAACCTCACAGGGCTGGGCCTTCAACGTCAGCACTATGGCTTTCTCTTCTGTCGCTTTTTCTCCTTCTCCACGCAGTCAGCGAACAGCACTTTCTACACTCCTCCCCTGCAAGCAATCCCAGGTCGATTGTAGCAGATTCCACTGGCACTAGGAGCCATCTGTTGGTTTTGCACCTCATGGAAGAATCTGTCTCCTTTTTTTTTTTTTTCCCCCTTAAAATCTTTTCCGGGTAACCAAAAGGGAAGCGCAATTCCCTTAACCTGGGACCACTAAAGGGGGGATACAAAAAGAGGAAATAAATACATTTTTAAGAACACAGAGCTTCACAATTCAGTAGATCGTTTTGTATTCTGGTTTCATTTTGCTTTGTATTCATATGCTAATCTCCTTTCCACGAAGGGATTATAGGGTCCCACAATGGGGTATCTGTGTAATTTTCTAAAAGGGCACAAAGGGTTTAAATCATTGTTTCTTTGTAGTTGGAGGCAAGGGAGAGAGGGAGGAATGAAAATCTACGCTGAATATTTTTTTTAATTAAACTCTTGCAGGTGAAATCAACTGTAGACCCAAAATAGGTCTTAGAATATGAAGTTTCAAGATAGAAGAAAGAGAAAGAACACTTTAAAAGTTTTTAATGTTTTCTTGCATTTACAGAAAATATTGGTATTTAAAGGAATTCTCGCTTTTTGTGGTGTCGATTTAACTTACCACGTATTATCACATAACAGTCTTTTTTCAAAATCAGATGTTACAGACATTGTAGTGGTTACTCAGGAGAGAAAAGGATTTTGATGAGGGACACGGTACCTCTGCTAATACATTGCTTCTTGAGCTAGGGGATGATCACACATAGTTGCTTTATAATTTGTTAAACAATATATAGAAATAATGCCCTTTTCTCTCTATATATAACATTGAAGAAAATCTAAAATTAAGATAAAAAATAAAAATTGATAAAACAGCAAAATTTACCATAGTAACCATTTTAAGTGTACAACTCAGAGGCATATTTATATTTTTGTGCAGCCATTACCAGTAGAACTTTTTCATCTTGAAAAACAGAAGCTTCATATGCATTAAACAATGACTCCCCTTTCCATCGTCCCCCCATTCCCTTTTCTGTCTGTATGAAATTGACTTTTCTAGGTACCTCTTGTAAGTGGAATCATACAGTATTTGTGTTTTTGTGACTGGCCTGTTTCACTTAGCATAATGTCTTCAAGATTCATTCATATTATAGCATGTATAAGAATTTTTCTCTGTAAGACTGAATAATATTCCATTGTGGGTTTACCTGTGTGTGTGTGTGTGTGTGTGTGTGTGCACACTGTATTTTGTTTATTCAGCAGTGGATGTGTGGATTGTTTCCACCATCTATTCTGTACAGTTTTTTAAAATGTGATTTGAATTCCTGTTACAGAACAATATTAAAGGAACAAAAAAGCTTAAAAGTAAAAAGCTGTACTCTGAAATTAATGAATGTCTAGGCAAAAACATATTTAAAACATGCCTATTTCCAGCTGCAAATGCCACTGACCGGAAAAACTGTAACCAGACCTTAACTTGTTCTATAAAGTAAGGATTTGCAATGCCTTGTTAAATTTTAAAGAAGGATCCCCTTTGTGGGTAATTTACCCAATTTTGAAAGCTAAAATCCCAATAATAATATCATCATATAAAGCAGTCTTTGCTGTTGAACAGTATCCCACCACTTTCCCATCTATTAAAAAAAAAACAAAATATTAAATACAATTTAGGGTTTTGTTGATTCTATTTTTTGCTAACTTAAACATTTAGTTGAAAGGCTAGAATTCCTATGTTCTAACCTTTTTGTCTATATTTCCTACATTGTAGTTGTAGACAATCCAAACATTCACTTTGCATTCTTTACTTATCACACCCCAACCTGCCTTTGTTTGTTTGTTTGTTTGGTTGGTTGGTTGGTTTTTTTGAGACAGGGTCTCACTATGTAGTTGAGACTGACGTGGAACTCACTATGTAGCCCAGGTTGGTCTCCAACTTACAGCAATCCTCCTGCCTCAGCCTCCCAAGTGCTGGGATTACAGGCGTGCACCACCACGCCTGGCATGCCTTAGTTTCTTTACTCACAATTGTACTAAATCTAGTTACTATGAATGCTGCCCTTCTTGTATGTAAAAGTACAGAAAAGGCTTATGATATCATATGAGAAAAATTCAGACTGTTAAATTCTATGTATGCTAGAACACACATTTTTAGAATGGAAATACAGCAGTAAAATACATACCTTTTAAATTTTCTGAAATAATTATATGTAAAATATACTTGAGATTTGCCATGCATTTGAAATATACCGTTATAATAATGCCTCTGTAGAAAAATAATTGATTCTACTATGTCAAGCACATTTTTATAAAACAGAATGAATCTTCATCCTGTAATCCCAGCCCTCTGAAAGGATTACAAGTTTGAGTCTAGTCCAGTCTGGGCAACTTAGACACAACTCAAGCAAACAAATAGACATAAACTTAATTACGAAAAAAATATAAGGATATACAGCATAAGTATGGTGAAATTGTAGGTGCTTTTCTCTATTTTCCAAATGTTCTTTGATATGGTTATTATTTTGCCCTGATGAAAACTTTTTAAAGTGTATTTTTTGCCGTACCAGTGATCAAACCTATGGCCTTGCACATGATAGACAAATGCTCTACTACTGAGCTAGATCCCTAACCCTAAAAATATTATCTTTCAAATGAAATTGTATATTTTATTTTATGAGATGTTTCTGCACCTGGTCTTGAACTCTTGGGCTCAAGCAGTTCTTTTAAGTAGCTAGACTACAGACACACACCACTGTGTCCAACCAATTTAAAAATACTTAATCCAGAGCCAGGGATTTAGCTGAGCAGCACAGCACCTGCCTGGCAAGCATGAGATCCTGAGTTAGATCCCCCGTACAAACAAAACAAAACAAACAAATAAACAAAGAAAACAATATGGCCAGGCAGGATGGCACACACCTGTAATCCCAGCACTCAGGAGACTGAGTTAAGATAATCACTGAGAGTTTGAGGCTAGCCTAGCTACATAGTTTAAGGCCAGTCTGAACTCTATAGCAAGACCTTGTCTCAAACAAAACAAAACAAAAAAACCTTAATCTACATATTCCTTTGAAATTTATTTTACACAGTATTCTACCTGCAGTCAATGAGGGAAGTTATAATGCAGAGACAGGAGATTTCCTATATGTTAAATTAATGTTTTAACTACCAATATAATCATAGTAGTTCATATTTACTGCATATTTACTAAATGTTGGAAACTATCAAGTATTTTATCTTCATTTTTTGAATATAGATAGATAAGTTCTTTGAACTAGATAATAAGCACATTCTACAGATGAAGAATTTGCGGACTGAGAAAGTTTGTTTGTTCTTTTGTTTTTGGAGACAGGATCTAACTATGTAGTTGAGACTGACCTGGAACTCACTGTGTAGCCCAGGCTGGTCTTGAACTCACAGTGATCCTCCTGCCTCAGCCTCCCGAGTGCTGGGGTCACAGGTGTGTGCCAGCACTCCTGGCTGGACTGAGAAAGTTATAAGACTTGCTTATAACTGAGCATGGTGGTCCTCTTGATAATCTCACCACTCTTGGAGGATGAGGCAGGAGGATTGCAAGTTTGAGTCTTGCCTGGGCAAATTAATGAGACATTGTCTCAAAATAAAAATTGTTGCTAGGGATTTAGCTCAATGGTACTGCACCTGCCGCACAAACTCAAGGTCCTGAGTTCAATCCCTGTTAGGAAAAAAAATTGTTTTATTTTTATTTTTTAAAATAAAATTCAACTTATTTTATCCCATTCCTCCCCTCATCAAAATAAAATTTTTAAAGGCCTGGGTATGTAGTTCTGTGTGAAGGTCCTGGTTTAATTCTGCAGTACAGGGAAGGAGAGAGAAAGAGAGAGAGAAAAAAGACTGCATGTGATTTAGAAGCCATTAAGTTTGTAATAGTTGAACTAGAATCCAGGTCCAGCTAGATAAAAGTTTTTATTGCTGTTTTGGTTCTGTTACTGTGTGTGTGTGTGTGTGTGTGTGAGAGAGAGAGAAAGAGAGAGAGAGAGGGAGAGAAAGTGAGAGGGAGGGAGACTGGAGGGCCTCTCTAGGGCCTTGTACCTACTGAGCAAGTGCTTTACCACTGAGCTCCATCACTAGCCCCTAGAAATATTTATAACACTATCAAAATGTGATATGTAGGGTCAGGGATTTGGCTCAGTGGTTCTGCCGCCTGCCTCCAAGCACAAGGGCTGGAGTTCAATCCCCGGGATCATAAAAAAAAAAAAAATGTGATTTGTATTTCTAAAATATTAGTAAACCTCTAAGAAACAGTCAAGCTATATCAGAACCACCATGAAGATGTTGTCTAGGTTTTTTGGGGGGTTGTTTTGTTTTTTGAGATGGGGTTTCCCTATGTAATTCAGTCCAGCTTCAAATTCAAAGCAATCCTCCTGCCTCAGCCTCCCAAGTGCTGCGATTACAGGTATGTGCCACCCTGTGGAGCTTATTTTGTAAAATTTGAAACAGTAATATCTTTCTTTCTTTCTTTTTTTGAATCGGAGCTCAAACTCAGGACTTTGCACTTGTAAGGCAGGTGGCAGCACCACTGAGCTAAATCCCCTGCCAGTAATATATTTCTATATATTTATTTTCCTTAATGAACTCCGCCCAAAACCTGGATCCACTCCTGTTAAAGTGTTAATGGTCATTTTGGAATCTGGTTCAGAAGTGTTGTAACTTCAATAGATAGGTGCTTATAACCTTTAAAAGGTTATAGTCATAACTGTGGAAAAAATATTGACACTGTAACTCAAGCATGAAAAGTAAAGTCACAAACTGTATTCATAGCAT